GAAAATTATTGTAATTATGTGAAACAAAACAATTGAAACTGAAATATGACAAAATATAGTTGAAATCGATTTTATTAACGCACAATTAACTGTTCACAACAATAAAAGTTACACATTGAATTGACTGATTGGTGACACACAATTGTAATTTTATATGGACAATATTTTAAAATTAAAATTGTGTAATATTAAAAAAAACCCAGCACAGTGGGGTCGCGGCATAGTGGGGATGTTGCATAGTTGGGTCCAGTATAGATTTAATCTGACAGTGATTAAAATCACTATCATAAGAAACGCTTCGATGCAAATCAGTAGATAGTGTTTAATTCTAAGAAATTGGTGGATAATTACAAAAGCTACATTATCTGCTAGTTTCTTATTAATACCCTGATTAAGATAAAGTATGTCGAATGAAAAAGGGATTATTAAAAAATATTATTTCTCATAAAAAAATTGTGTTGATTCGTACACTTTTCAATGAGTTATAGCATTATAAAGTTAAAAATGTAACCAACCCAACCCAACATCAACTCCTATTTCCTTAATTATATCCAGATTAGTAATTATTTTAATTATATATTATATAATTTTTATAATTAATTATTTTCAAATTATTATTGATTTTTAATATGTTAAAAGTAATCATTTTGAACCTACTTCTTTTTGTTCTTTAAAGTGAAAGTTTTAATAAAAAAAAAATGAATTTATTACCATAACTTTTAACTCAACTTGCAAGTTTGAAATAAATATTATTAAATAGAAAAAAATGAAATTGGTAGATTATTTCAAAAACAACAATAACACTTATTCCCTTAATTTTACCCCGATTTATAACTATAATATATGAATACATAATAATTACAGTAATTAAATTGAGTATGAAAGTGGTATTCAATAATATAATATTGTAATTTTTACGGAGATATTATAAAAATAAAAAGGAGTTGTATATTCATATACTTTTAATGCGTATACAAATTTAAAGGAATTTATGCAATACTTTTTAATAAAAAAATTTTGTTACTTATGAATAAATACACTAAACAAAAGGAACTTTCATCAGAAAAAAAATATACTTTTCTAAATAAACTTTTCGTGATGTTTTCAAATGTGCAATTAAACTTTTTCTATTACTTCTAAGTTTTAATATTATTACTTATTATTAAAAAATAAGTATTTACATATAAAAAAAAATAATTAAGAACAAAAAAAATTGTATTAAATTAATACTGATTTTGATTTTTAATATGTTAAAGGTAATCATTTTGAACCTATTTTTTATTGTCTTTTAAAGTGAAAGTTTTAATGAAAAATACCTTCTCAGCTTCGCATCGAAGCTAAAAAATGAATTTGTTACCATAACTTATAGTTCAACTTGCAAGTTTGAAATTGACATTATTAAATTGAAAAAAATGAAATTTTTAAGATTAATATGCAATCTGGAAATTTTATAATTACTAATTACAGTACATTTGTCAGAAAAATTCGATTTTTTTACATTTTTATCGTAATAGATAACTGAAATAGAAAGAATAGTAATCATATCCTAATAACTTTTGGTGTTTAAAAAAATTCTGCAATTGAAATATTCAGAACTTAATTAATTTTAATAATTTACTTTAATTAAATGAACCAATCAAACCAAAGTAGTTAAAAAGATTTACTCAATTGAGCATATTATCAAAAATATAATTATAATTGTAAAACTCCATCGTTAACTTCAGGTGAAACTAAAAATCATTTTTTTTTTAAATTTATGATTTATATAGCAAAATATTACTAAAAAATTTGGCATATTATAGACTGGTAGTAGCACACAGAAATAGAGTTAAAAAATTAATAAATTATAAAGTAAAATTATTTACTTTTGTAGTTGAATACTTTTATCATATCAAATTTAATTCGACAATAAATAATTTAAGAATATTAAAAATTAATGATTTTAATTGTTTGTATGGACAAATCTAGTTAAGCTACTTTTTATTTGAATAAGGAATATTTTTTTGATTTTTAAGAGTAATAACTTAAACTAATCATTAACTTAAATATCATAAACTTAAATGAATCATTTGACGTATCGTTGAAAAAAGTAGGTCTAGTGAGGGTTGGCAAAATAAATCGTAGCCAGAAAAAGAACCACATAGTAAAATAATATTAACATGAATATCAATTTCTTCTCACGAGGGGAGACTATAGTGATAAGATCCTTTATATTTATTGAAATTATTGAATCTAAATGAGATAAATATCAAATGATTTGAAAATTCTATTCTAACTCAAAAAAAAAATGCAAAATTTTAGAAGCCACAAACGGATTTGAACCTCGTACCCTAGGCGTTAAAGATCAAGGTGTTACCCATTCGGCAACTATTCGTTGATTTTTGTTGCATGATAAAATTGGCTATTTAAGCTAACTCAAATTTAAAAATTACTTTTTCGACTTTAAAAAAGTAAAAAATGTTAATAAGTATAATATCATATGTCTTATGAACTTTATTCTATGTCAATGAAATTATATAATATTCATGAAAGTCAGTTTATTCCCCTAATAAAATATTTTAAAATAAAATAAAATACAAAACCTAGAATTTTAATAAAAAATAGCATATTTTTAAATACGGTAGCCTTTTGCGCATAGAAGATAGGTCGTCGGGACAAATTTTTTTTTTTCATTTAGTAGTACATAAAATAAGCTTTAATTTGATATATGTTTAAAGGACGCAGTATTTCCGGAACATTTTCAAAAATTAAGTTGAAAAAGTTAGTTTTTGTAAAAAAGTTGCTATTTTAAATCCCCCCTGTGAGCAGAATAAGTGTTAGATTTTCAAAAAAAAATGATATCAAATGAAAGAAAATTACCTAAGGTTTCAATATAAAGAAATATTATTTTGATTAGTTAATATTTGAAAAAGTTATGGCAGTTTTAAGTACAAAAAACATCGTTATAAAAGGTGATTTTTATCGCAAATATTACATTTTTTTTATAATTTCGACAGCCATTTGCACATAGAAGATAAGGTGTCGGGACAAATTTTTTTTTTTCATTTTATAGTACATAAAAAAAGCTTTAATTTGATATATGTTTAAAGGACGCAGTATTTCCGGAACATTTTCAAAAGTTCAGTTGAAAAAGTTCTATTTTTTATACAATGTTTCAAAGTTTGAACCCCCCCTATATAAGGGGAAATTGTCTAATTTTAATAAAAAGTATGTCAAATGGAAGATGTACTTATAATGTATTTAGAAAAAAAAAAATTGTGCTGATACATGCATTTTTCGAAAAGTTATAGCATTTTTAAGTTGAAAATTAAAAATTGAAAATCGAAAATTTTAACACAAAAATAGTGTTTTTTTAACTACGGCAACCGTTTACATGCGGAAGAATAGAAACAATAGAAGATAAAGTGTCGGGACAAATTTTTTTTTTCATTTTATAGTACATAAAATAAGCTTTAATTTGATATATGTTTAAAGGACGCAGTATTTCCGGAACATTTTCAAAAATTAAGTTGAAAAAGTTAGTTTTTGTAAAAAAGTTGCAATTTTAAATCCCCCCCCATGAGCAGGTTAAGTGTTAAATTTTCAAAAAAATTATATCAAATGAAAGGAAAATTATCTAAGGTTTTAGTTAAAAAAAAATTATGTTGATTTGTTGATTTTTGAAAAAGTTATGAAAGTTTTAAGAAAAAAAAGTGAAAAAAATGACAAAAATTTGTCGATTTTTAAATTTGTAATTTTTTTGGATATTTCCCCCATTTGCGGGGAACGAGGGAAAATTTTTAAATTTTTAAGGGTAATGTCTTCAACTAGATACAATTTGTGATCTTTTGACGTATTGTTAAAAGAAATCGGTCCAGTGAGAGCTGAGAAAAAGTAGTGACAGACAAAAAAAAAAAAAAAAAATAAACACATCATGGTAAAATTAATACCTTCTCAGCTTCGCATCGAAGCTAAAATAGATATCCAGTTTTAATTGCTGTTTAAAAATGTCATATTATATGAAGAAAAAGTTACAAAAGTCACTATGAGTAATATGATCAAAATGTAAGCCCTATGTATAATAAAGACAACAGTTTAAAGGAAGAAGTTTAAAGACTCTATTGGTTAGAAGCTAGCAGACAAAAAATATATATTATATTTCTAAATGTATGATATTAAGAATAAATATTTTTTTCTTTTAAAAAAAATTGTATGATTCCTTTTGGTTATCAAAAATACTTAGTTTTGTTTGAGAAAAAATTATGAAATTATAATGTACTTGAATAATCCTGAAAACTTCATTATATTTAATCATTGTTTTTTTAAAGGATTCAAAATTATCTAGTAATAACTCCTTCATCAGCTGTCCAACTTGCAATGGTCTAGGTCATATTATTGATCACTCAAATCCGAGTAAGTTATCAATAAAAATTTACTAATTTATAAGCATTACCGAATACTAATAATATTCAGATCGTGCACTAAATTATTAATTAATTCTTACAAATAATATTTTTGATTAACAATAGTACAAAATAATTCTTTTTTTATTTTATTACAAATTTTTTTTAAGCACTATGCTGACTATTGTATTAAAAATATATCTCTTTCTCAGCCTTATACAATATTAATTTAAAATAATAATAGTTAAAATATTACTATAAAATGGTACCATGAAAATGGATGGAAGATACCGATATTTCCTTAAATAAATATATTTATATATTTAATATACTATTAACAATACTATTATCTTCTTTTATTTTGTTACTCAGACACCGCCACAATTAATAGGAAATCCCAAGGTTATCTGAACACAACCACAACCAATATCAAATCAGTTGAGTTATGTTCTGAAACACATAATGAAATTTTATTAGAAAACAAAAATAATGAATCGGATTCAAATAACTTGTAAATATAATAATGTATTATTTATCAATAACTTCAGAGACTCAGATGTTGGAGGGAAAGCTCTACCTCAAATATTGAGAGACTTACGTTTAAATTTGTTTGAAAATTTTTCCTCAATTTCTGAGTTTTTAACATATGTAATAGCTAATATGCTATTAAGTAGCATATTATTAACATATGGGTTTTTTTTTAAAGAAAATTTTTGTCAAAAATGGATTCTATTATTGGATGTGTGACTGATTTACTAAATGAAAAACCACCATTTGAAAACCCACACGAAGTCATAAAATTAATAATTAATAGACTGAAAAATAATAACTTGTGAGTTAATTTTTATATACATTAAATAATACCTTAAATGCTTATTAATTTTTCTTTTAAAAAAATCTGTGGTCAAGTAGATTACCTATTTTACATAAAGTAATCATTTAATTATTTAGTATTATATAAAATACAGTTACATTTTAACGATTCTTACTTATTCAAAATACACTTCAAATGTTAGTGCAAGTCCATGATCACAAGTTAGTCATGAATATTACATAAATTCATTTAAATTTATTTATTATTTATTATGGTCAGGTACGTATTCATAAAATTTTCCGTCACTTCTTACCATCCAACTCATTAAATAAAGTGGTTATTAAAAGTACATAATTATTTCTTTACATCCTACATAATTGTAGGGTTGTATAAGAATGATTATTTTTGTATAAGTATTTGTAGGTATTTAATTCAAAAATAGAAATAATATTAATAACATTTTTATTTGTATTATTTTAGTTCAATAATTTTTTCAATTTATCAATTATGATTTTTTTAGCTTCGATGCAAAGCGGAGAAGGTATTTTATATGATGTGTTTTTTATTTTTTGTGTTTGTGAATGCTCAATCTCAGCTCTCGCTGAACCGATTTTGATGAAAAATACGTCATAAGATCACAAATCGTATTTAGTCAAAAATTGATCAAAAAAAAAAAACGCTCTAAAATTGATACTTATTTAAATTTTTTTGCATTTTTTAAGTCGAGAAAAATAACTTTGAAATTTGAACTAGCTTAAATTGCCATTTTTTCAGTTTATGAAAGCGAAGTACGGTTGCCGAGTCCATAAAATTTGTGTGTTACACGCTTGGGGTGCAAGGTTCCAATCCGCGTATGACAAGGAATTTTTTGCATTTTTTTCTTAATTCTTTTTAAGTTTGAATAAATTTTCAACTCCTTTGATTTTTATCTCATTTAAATTCAAAGATCAAGAATCCTATCACGAGAAGAAATTTCTTATTCATATTAAAATTATATTACTATACTTTAGGTTTTAGCTTTGTTACGAAGCTAAGAAGGTATTAATTTTAATATGATGTGTTTTTAGCTTCGATGCGAAGCTGAGAAGGTATTGGTTTTACTAAGATGTGTTTTTTTTTTTGTGTCTGTTACCACTTTTTCTCAGCTCTCATCGAACCGATTTCTTTCAATGATACGTCAAAAGATCACAAATTGTAGCTAGTCGAAGACATTACCCTCAAAAATTGAAAAAAATTCCCTCGTTCCCCGTAAATGGGGGAAACCTCCAAAAAAATTACGAATTTAAAAATCGCTAATTTTCGAAATTTTTTCAATTTTTTTTACTAAAAACTGCCATAACATTTTTAAAAATGAACATAACAATATAATTTTTTTTTTATAGATGCATAATATCATTATCTTTCATTTGGTATATTTTTTTGTTATATCGGATCCTTTAACTGTTCACAGGGGAGGATTTAAAATGACAACTTTTTCACAAAAAATTTACTTTTTCAACTTAACTTTTGAAAATGTTCCGGAAGGTCTGACACTTTTATATATATCTTAAATTAAAGCTAATGTAATGTACTTTAATTTGAAAAAAAAAAATTTGACCTCTGGACTTGTCTTCATGGTGAAAACNAAAAAAAAAAATTTCGGACTTTATTTTATCTTCAGGGTGAAAATGGCTACCGAATGCTATTTTTGTGTGAAAATTTTCGATTTTGTAATTTACATTTTTAACTTTATTATGCTATAACTTTTTGAAAAATGTATGAATCATTACAATTTTTTTATGAGAAGTAGTATTTATATAGATCTTTCATTCGACATACTGTTTTTTTAAATCGGACCATTTCCCTAAATACAGGGGGGATTCAAAACATAAAAATGCATATAGAAAGTAGAACTTTTTCAACGTAACTTTTGAAAGTGTTCCGGAAGGTCTGACACTTTTATATATATCTTAAATTAAAGCTAATGTAATATACTTTATAATGGTAAAAAAAAATTTCGGACTTTATTTTATCTTCATGGTGAAAACATACATTAAACTTAATAAAAAAAATATGATTTTTGTAAAAAAATTCTTTTTTATATTTTTAACTATATAATGCTATAACTTCTCGAAATATTTGTGGATCAATATAATTCTTTTTTTTGTAGATGCATGATGTCTTTACCTATCATTTGGTATATTTTTTTTATAAATCTGACTTTTTACCTGCCTACAGGGGGGGATTCAAAATGACAACTTTTTCACAAAAAATTGACTTTTTCAACTTAAATTTTGAAAGTGTTCCGGAAAGTCTGACACTTTTATATATATCTTAAATTAAAGCTAATGTAATATACTTTATCATGGAAAAAAAAAATTTCGGACTTTATTTTATCTTCAAGGTGAAAATGGCTACCAAATGCTATTATTGTGTGAAAATTCTCAATTTTATTTTTTACATTTTTAACATTATAATGCTATAACTTATTGAAAAGTGTATTGATCAATATAATTTTTTTATGGGAAATACTATTTTCTAATAATCTCTTTTTTATTCGACATACTTTGTCTTAATCAGGATATTAATAAGGAACTAGCAGTTTATGAAGCTTTTGGAATAATCCACCAATTTTTTAAAATTAAACACTATCTAAAGATTTGCATCGAAGCGTTTTTTTTTTATAGTGATTTTAATCACTGTCAGATATCATTATACTTGATCCAACTATGCCACGTCACCACTGTGCCGCGACCCCCCTGTGCTGGGTTTTTTATATCTGTTGTAAAAATTTATCATACTAATATGCATAATACTATTATAAAAATGAAAATAATTGAAATTAAAAATTGAAGTTTATTGGATAGTTTAATTAATTGATTTATAGTTCAAAGAAAACTCAAAAAATGTATATAATAATATCGGTTATTCTATTGATAAAAAAAATTATCGGTCACTCTACATCACGTAACCTGTTGAATGTGTCGCAGTCATTATCTAGCTATAAATATCTAGCTTTGCCCACCCCGCCATAACTACATCAGAAAAATAAAAATTTTATTTTACAAACATATAAATATGAAAAAAGAACACATTTTTCATTACACAAATATTTATTAGTTAATAAATAAATTATACTTTATACATTAGTCAATAAATAATGTCCATAAATGTTGATATGAACTTATTTTGTTTTGAGGAGATCATTTTGGACAGTTTACTTCATCTGCACTTCTTTTACCGCTTATAATCCAGCTGTCAACATATTTGTCCGGTTTAAACAGCGGGACAGGAGGTCCAATACAATTATTAAAAACCAATGAAGATATATACTCAGTGGTCAAATCATTTCATTTTAAGGTAACTATACTGTTCGTTGCACTAAACGATCTCTCACATTCCGAGGAAGAAATTTGCTATTGTCCTGACAGCAGTTAAAATAGGATGTAGATAGTTCATTTTTAAAGGAATCTTTTGAATCTTTAAACTCACGGTATCCATGAATTGTTGGTTTTTCATCTAAATTAAATTTTGAATCTAACCTTCTAACACATTCATCTCCATATTGAATGTTAACTTTATCAGGCCAAATATTGGAATCTGTACATACATATTTTTCTTTTGTTATCCAACAGATATTGCTACATGCTTTATTCGTTTGAAGAATTCATCCCATATCCAAGCTATTCGTAATTTGAAGGTCTATTAATTTTTATACGTCTGTGTAAGGTCTTTGATTCTTTACTATGCTGTATGCTGTCCTAAATATTATTTTTGTATTTTAAATTTCTTTTTTTCAATTATACGTTCATTGTGTACATGGGTTTGAGAAGATTTATGTTTTTCTTAAATTTGCTTGCTATTTCTTAAAATTATCTCCAACTGGAAATATTTCTCCTTTCATCCATTCTTGTGAAGCATGAGTACCTTGATATTTTGTTAAATTAAAATTGGCCTCGGAACATATTTTGCAACCAATTTTTTTATTATTAAAAAAAATTACGGTTTTACTTGTACAATATGTGCTGGTGTCACGTTACCATTATTGTGAGAATTATTTTAATAAAATACAGACAGCACATCCGCTTCCTGAGACTGATGAATTAACAAATAATATTTATTGCCAAATTGGCAATAGTTCTAATTACTACAAAAACCAAAAAGACCTGACCATCGTGGACAGTCGACTCTAGTGTCTTGTGTCATTCATCAGCCTCAGTACTCGATTGTCGCTGTCCGGCTTACTGCTTAAAGTAAAGTCTTTGTTTATTCCTTTTTAAACCTATCTACTCTCTTCCACAACATTTCAGAGTATTTGTGTCTTGCACTTCGTCTGCACCTCATACCTAGGTGTTACCCTTATTCCCTTCCTATAACAACAGCCTTTCGACACCCGGAGTGTCAGCCGAGCACGGTGACTGCTGTACGACAACACGCACGTGAATACCTAGACAGCAGGCACCACATCCTCATCTTCATCTTCGTACACATCACAATAACATTTACACCTGTTTCCCATTTCTTTTATTGTGTTACGACAAATACTTTACTTGTTTATCGTCCCAACAATCTGGCGACTGTGTATTTAATAAAAAAACATTTTTTGATGTTTCAGGTTCACTTTTTGTAGATAGAATTTTGTAAAATTTCAAAATATATTTTTAGTAAAATTTACCTACTCCTTTATTATTTAAATAATTTTTATTATTTTAATTATATACTGAATAATAAAATATATTAGAATATTAAACATTATTATCTTATGAATAAAAAGTAACAATAACAAAATGAAATAGAAGTATACAACTTTTTTTTTTACAAATTTTATAATTCTTTAGGCTAATATCAATACAAATAATATAACAATATACAATAATAATAATAATAATACAATAATAATATAACAAATATATAACAATATAATTTTACACAAATGCAAAATAAATATTTTTTATAAACAAGACAATTAATCAGCTTGAGTTATAAAATCAGGTATTTTCAACAAATTAATGTGTGTTAATATAATAAATAATATAATATATAATATAATAAAACTCCCTAATGTAAAATATACTCTGCATGTAATTTAAAGCTGAAGTCAAAATATAAATTAATTTTAACCAGTGAAAAAATCTGGCACAATCATTTAAAATAAATCCACAAAAAAACTCTAATAAGTACATATGTTTGAAAATCGATAAATGTATGCAAATGATCCAAAAGCAAAGTTATAACTATTTAATATAATTTTTTAATAATATAAATGTTTTATTTTAATTATTTCTATATTTTTTGTATCTATAACAATGCCTTTGACCTATATGATATTAAACAACTCGAGTGAAATCAAGAAAAATTCCTAGTAATTAGTGTGTTTGTATATATAATTGATGAAGTTTGCCCCCCCCCCAATTATAAGATCTAGAGACGCCACTGGTTAGATACACGCTTTTAATAATTACCCAAAGTTCAATATTTATCTATTAAATTACAAATATCTATAAAAATATCACTTATCTATAAAAATTTGTTTATATTTTTTACTATAATTTTTGAGTGAACATACATGTATTATGATTATACAAAATAAAAAATTGTGAAAAATATTACTATAAAAAACTATATATAGATAATAATATACATATTAATAAATTAATTAGGTACCTCACTTATTTTCTTTGGTTAAATTTACATAGTTTACACAATGATTTTGGTGTTGTCAAATTATTATGACTTCCATAATTTTTACATTTTATGGTTATGAAATATAAAAATATAGATAAGTAAGTAATCATTTAAGAATTATCTTGAGTCTTAAATACTGAGAACAAAAAATTGTTCAGAACAGATAACTCTGAATTCTTTGAATTAAGAATTATTTTTACTTAATAATATCTATTAAATTAAACTCCTTAACTGTTCAAAAACAATACTTACCTGCTCATCAACTTCACTTTTTTTATTTTTAATAATGTTATTTACTTATAAAACATAGAAATATGTTCAACAGTGATTTAATAATATTATTGTTAAAATTTTTTGAAACTTTTTTTACATTGATTGGTAGATGTTCTACAGTAGTGGCAGTATTAGGTGCAGGTTTTTTGAAAAAAAAATTCAATAACTTACTTGATTTTTTCATGATAGATTACAGTATAAATGTATAGATATCTTAAGAATTGTTATAAGATCAATTAATAAATTGAATGGTATTGTTAACAAAACTAATGTTTTGAATTTCACAAACGAAGAATTGGCGCCCGCCCTTATCAACTTGTTTCACTGTGAAAGTGTAAACAATCAATAATAGATTAAATTGCATGTTCAGTACAAAATTCAATATCCCCTATCTAAATTACAGATTAATAATCTTAGTCCGTATTCTAAATATAGATATCTGTGCACGAAATTCGAGGCAGACTATATCGCAGAACAACAGTGTAGGTACTATAGAATATAGAAAATATCGATTGTGGTCAACTCATAGACCTATTAATATTAAATTTACAATTCCAGTCGAAGTTATAAGCGTTGTAAAACTGATATAAATTTGATAGTCAACATTAACTCCCGACGGGCAACATTGAGATAGCTGATAGCGGGAGAATATTAGTTTTATCCACAGATAAAATAAATTGGCTAGAATCTAGCCGATAGATCACGGTTTTTATTACGGGTTTTATAATAGGAGTGAGTGTACACACAATTATTTACAAAATCATTGTAATAAGATTATAAACATCGTTGCAACACGTATTCGGTTCAACTAAAATAATTACAGTATAAGTATACAATTATACAAAAAAAAATAAGATGTACCTTTTTGTCACGTTAAATAAATAACAATTCGATTTCAATTATATTTATTCTCTGATCGTTTTATCTAGCAGTCAGCGGCAGTAATAATGAGTTGTTGACATCACTGTTACAAAAAGGTTCATATGCACATTCTCTTGCGCGATAAAAAAAATAGATAAATAAATATTTTAAAAATTATAATCAGTCCACTTACGAATTTATGATGTTACAGTATAAATATTTATATATATATATATATATATAAAAAAAAAAATTCTTGTTTGAGAAGTCCAATTCTTTGAGTAGGGAAAGCTCCATAATTTCTTTAGTTACGCCATAAAATATCAGAATTTAAAGTATGATAAGTATAATTAAATTAATATGTTAATTTATAAAAATATACGTATTTTATACATAAAATATCTATCGTCAATATTGTAAGTAATTATCTAGCTATAGTAATAATGTGCATAGATTTGAAAAAAAAATTTACATTCAAAGAATTGTTTTTTGTAATCGAAAATTATTTATATTTTCGTTAGATAAATAAAACTTCTAATAATTTCCAAATATTTTGTATACTTTTACAACTCAATAATAACGTTAAAAAAAAATTTTATCACTTAAGTTATTTCTATTTTATTTGAATTAGTTTCTGTAGTTTGTTTTTATTTTTTATGTATATTGTATTTAATTGATTTACAAGTCTTTTTATGAATGCCACTGACATAAATGTTAAATATATATATAATGAATAATTCGTGTTGTTGTATTATGTTAAATTTTAGAGAAGACCACAAGAAAGCTTTATGCGACGCCGTACAATTGGCACGACATCATCCAGACATATTAAAACCTAATATGAAAATAATAAATACAAAAGTTATAGATTTTCTTAATTATCAGCGCATTCAAGTAGTTCGGTTAGCGTGTCAAACAGCCGGAGAATTATTTAGAACGATGAGATGTGTAGATCGACCAGTATGAGTGCTTTTTATTTAGCATAAAAATTTATTTTACAGGAAATTAAAACATTTAAACTGAAATTATGTACCACTGCAGATCATATGAGGTGATCTAAATATCAAAAGCCTGTCCAAATTTTTTTTTCTATTTAAAAAATCTTTCATAGTGTTCAACAAAAACCTTGGTCCTTTCATTATTAGTAAAAATTTGTAATATCCACGTAAAAAAATGTTTTGACATATAAATTTATATACTAGATGTATGACTAAAACTAGGAATAAAATCCAGAATCACATAGAAGTATTTTATTGATAGTAATTTTAATCACTACCAAATTTCAAACTATAGGAATTTCTACTATATTGGATCCAATTGAGCTGTTTTTTAATAAAACATTACGACAGTGTTATATAGTAATATAGATATAAAATAAGTAACATATGATAATGCGATAGAATAGGACGTTCAACATTGCGACAAATATCCTCTATTTTTTTATTTTAATAGGTTTAGGCCCTCATAAGCAATTCTCAATTTTTCAATGGTTAAAAATTTAGCTAAATATCCTAATATTGTGTTTATGTGTTACTATGAAGATATTTGATCATATTGTTGTGGGTTTGATGTGCAAGACAGCAGATAAAAATCAACAATTAAGAATTGACGCTAATTGGGCATTGGATAAGATGGTAATAAGTGTACCTCTATTAGTGGCTATAAAGGCATTGGCTGGCTGTAGACATAAAAATCCATCAGTTAAGGTAGCCCAGTTACGATTGATGCATGGTGCAGTAGTCATTGGTGATCCAAAGAAAATATTGATATCACCTGGTTTAAAAGAAGCTAGACGTCTGGTTCTCCGAAATTGTATAACTGCTATTGAGGACTCTAATGCTGATGTTAGGTAAGAACAGATACAATCTAAAATATTTCCTAGAAATAGCTTAAAATACTTAAATTAAATAAAGCCGTGGAGGGTGGAACAATATCATACTGACACGATTTACGTCGCAATAATGTAGTCGACACTGGTTTTGATGGTACACCTAAGAGATGTTTATTAATGATGAGCAACAACTGATTTTTACAAAAAGAACCGAAAAGACAAACATAATTTGTCTTTTCGGTAACACAATTAATCAAAATTTTCGCAAAATATTGTGGCACTTTTGCATGGGTTGCCCCACGTGATTCTCGGCCGTCACTAAATTAGCAGTCTTGATAGCTAAGGTGCGCGGGTGAAAATCGGTTTGTCTATTCCGGTCATGCTACACTTCTGTAGCCGATGGCGTACATCCTCAACATTATCACTTTGACACAGGGAAAAAAACTCAACGTATCTTTTGCGGGGGGTTGTCGTCGGGCGGGCTGCATTTGTGCTCGCTGGAATCTGGCTCTGGTGTAAACTAGGACCTTATCTCTGCGCGGTGGTAAGAAGATGAAGGCGACGTGGTCCGCCCCGAAACAATACCTCACGGCAGTTCCGGGGCGGTCCACATGAAGTCGAGTAAGGAGGAGAAAAAAAAGTGCTGCATTTGCTGGACTTAGCACTGCAGTGTATAACACGCGTTGTTTATCAGTTAAAATACAAAAAACCTATAGTAGGGCAACTAATAAAGATGACGCGGGTCGTGGAGCACCGTGTATCATGAAACGACGTGGAACCGTGTTAAATTACCCCCCCCACGACAAGCTGCCGGTCTTCTTGATGACGAACAGATAACCGTGCAGAGCGATGGGAATATAGATCATATTAAGTTAATAATTCAGTATATGGCAGTGACAGCCGCAAAACTTACGTTGTTTATTGAGTTCTCTAGGAGGGGGATGAGTGCGTGTATTCAAATTCCATGGATCCCTCTATTAGTCGCTGTTTGAGCCCCATAAAAGAGTTATCAATCTAGTACATGTTCACCTCTAGTTGATAAAACTGGATATGGTGCAATACCCACTTGTATCATTGTTATCAACTGCTGTTGCTGTTGTCAGTACATTTTAACGTTTCTGTGTTTTTTAAATTTGTGTGAGTGTTCTCTCTAACCTTCAAACTCATGTATTGTGTTTTAACGTACTCTGCGTACTACTACACACCGTAGATATTTAATATGTATGCTCATACAATATGAATACCCTATTATTCATAATAGTGCTCTCAAACAAAACCACATTGTTGATGTGAAGAATGTAGATATTATCCTACAGTTTAGTATTGCTGTCCTACGCAGAGGATTCAATGGAATGGATAATGCCTATCAGCTCGGATAACCAAGTCAATGTACAGCTCATGTGATTTATGAAGGAGGCAGATCAGCTATAACATCATTCAATACCCAAAAACCAGAGAGAGTATTTGTTGTATCCCTTAGCTCATAAGGCCACAACATCATTAAAATATATAAATTAATCATTTAAAGGTTATGTACTTTATTTTAAGTAAAGTGTTATTGTCCCACATGATCCTTATATAAGCTATTGACGCCAACCATTAATTTAGGAGTGTCATGGCGCAACAGTCGCTATTTCACCACTGCTAATTTGGTTGTTGTTGAAGATGATGTCTTATTCATGTAAAATAAGAAGGATGCTGGTATCAGATTTTGTTTTACTGGCTGGCAATGGTTAAATGGGTGTAAAGTTGTCCGCGCTTTGTGGTCTGGTGTTAATATGATATGTGTTGTGCGTCCCACTATATCATTAAAAACCGCAACGTATTTTTTCACTATATCTGTTAATAATTTGCGTGGATGTGTGTCGTCAGCTATATTTACGGGTTGGGTTGGGTTGGGTTTTGATAATTTTGGCAGATCTATATTATAGGGAGTGTGGGGAGCACTTGATTTCCAGTACGCCGCGAGTACGTCATGATGCGCCTAGATGGATTATGCATGCAGCATAATACCAGATGATTTCTTGATTCTTCAGAAAATTATGCTCCAGAAATACGTCACAGTACAAATTATCGAAGATCACGCAAAATTAATAGTCTTATTTGTGATGTTGGCAGTAAAAGTAGCGGTGGGTTTTGTATAGACGTATGCTCGTATAATCTCGTTTGTTTTTTATGCACAATTCCGTATTTATAGGCTATTGCCGGGGTGATATATGAATTTTGTGCTTGTAAGTCAAGTAATGCCATCACAAAGTCATTGTTAAATTAGAGTTTCATGGCTAGAGTTCGGTGAATGGTTTTGAAGGAGCTACAAAATGTCTAGCGTTGTGATCGAGAAGCTATCGATGAAGATAAGTCGGTGTATGGGCGAAGTGAAATGGATGGCCGTTAAAAATTTCGTCATTTTGACCATGAGGAATGCACTGGATTTCGTTAACAGTGACAAGGGAGCTGGTTGTTCGCGCTGCGCGTATTGCTGTGTGTTGATTTGGTGGTGGTGGAAATTGTGTTTTTGAGCCAGGAAAGTGGACTAATTTCTCTGTGCCTGATGCCCGTTTCTGCATACTTATTATAGCAACTACTGTATCAATGATCAGCTCTACAATATCTTCAGGATCGGCATTCTGCGTATGTTCGAATATAAGCTGACTTTTAGCCTATCCGTGTGTTAGACCCTATCGAAATTGTTTAACGTACGTAAAAATCGCATCATACGTTGCCATAGTATTCGTCGCGCAAAAGNTTGATCCGTGTGTTAGACCCTATCGAAATTGTTTAACGTACGTAAAAATCGCATCATACGTTGCCATAGTATTCGTCGCGCAAAAGACTATTCTATCTACAATGTGTTGCTCTGAAAAACAGTGGCGTGCACGCATCGCTAGTTGTTGTTTATTTATAATAAACTCTGTCATTCGCTGATAGGGCCCCTGTTGTGTTTTCAAAGTTACGAGGCTCAGTTCGGACAGACGGGCGTAATTAGTACAATTTGTTTCTACTGGTTGGGTTGAGTTAGGTTATAAGAAAACAGCGAGCGTTCAAAAATTTTTACTATAATAATTGAAACCTATATGATTGTGTGGAAATCAATATAACTTGTTTTTATTTATAATTTTAATAATTATTAGAAGACCAAAATTTTTCACTCAAATATGCAAAACATTTCCCTGACGCACATACTATATTCCAATGCACTTTGATCTATAGCCTGGATTACTCATTTGTAGGATATAAGAGATAAACATTAAGAACGGTAGCACAGGGGGTCGCGGCACAGTATGGACGTGTCATAGTTGGGACAAGTATAGCTGATATCTGACAGTGATTAAAATCACTATCATAAGAAACGCTTCGATGCAAATCTGTAGATAGTGTTTAATTTTAAGAAATTGGTAGACTATTTCAAAAGCAACAATAACTTCTATTAAAATAAAATACAAAACCCATAATTTNTAGACTATTTCAAAAGCAACAATAACACTTATTCCCTTTTTTTAAAATCACAAATTTACATGATTTTTTCTTATATTAAAATCTTAGATATTTCCTTTTCATTTGATATCTAATTTTGAAAATGTAACACTGAACATGCTCACAGAGGAGGATTTAAAATAGTAAAACAAAAACTAATTTTTTCAACTTAACTTTTGAAAATGTTAAGATTAATATGCAGTCAGGAAATTTTATAATTACTATTTATAGTAAATTATCAGAAAAGCTCAATATTTTTTTGCATTATTATCATAATAGATAACTTAAATAAAAATAATAGTTATCATTTCCTAGTAACTTTTGGTATTTAAAAAAATTCTACAATTGAAATATTTAGAACTTAATTAATTTTAATGATTTACTTTAAACTAAAAGAAACAATCAAAACAAATTCGTTAAAAGATTTACTCAATTGAGCGTTTTATAAAATTTGATTATAATTTTTTAAATTCATAGTTTATTCAGGAGAAACTAACAATCATTTTTTTTTTGAATTGATTTAGATAGCAATATGTTACCAAAAAATTTGGAATATTATAGTCTAGTAATAAGACACACAAATAGAGTAAAAAAATTATTAAATTACAAAGTAAAATGGTTTAATTTTGTAATTTAAACCTATCATATCGAACTTGATTCGTCAATAAATACTTTGAAAACATTTGAAATGAAGGATTTTAATTGCTGTATAGATAAGCAACTATTTAATTGATAATACATAGAATCATAAATACATTTTTCAAAAACTTATAACATTATAAAGTTTAAAATGCAAAATACAAAATCGTGAATTTTCACACAAAAATAGCATTTGGTAGCCATTTTCACCGTGAAGACAAAATAAAGTCCGAATTTTTTTTTTTTCCATGATAAAGTATATTACATTAGCTTTAATTTGAGATATATATAAAAGTGTTAGGATTTCCGCAACACTTTCAAAAGTTATGTTCAATATGTTAATTCTTTTGTGAAAAATGTTATCATTTTAAATCCCCCCTTGTGGGCAGGTAAAAAGTCATATTTATAAAAAAAATATACTAAATAAAAGGTAATGATATCATGCATCTATAAAAAAAATTATATTGATTTGGTTATTTTTAAAAAAGTTATGACATTTTAAGTAAAAAAAACCCAGCACAGTGGGGTCATGGCATAGTTGGGTCTAGTATAGATGATATCTGACAGTGATTAAAATCACTATCATAAAAAACGCTTCGATACAAATCTGTAAATAGTGTTTATTTAAAAAAAAAAATTTGTCAAAAGAGTAGGTCAAGTGAGAGCAGAGAAAATAAATGATAGCTACAAAAAAAAAAACCACATAGTAAAATTATATTTATGATGAATTTCTTCTCATGAGAGGAGACTACAGTAATGGGATCCTTGATATTTATTGAAGTTATTGAATCTAAATGAGATAAAAATCAAATGAGTTAAACATTTTTTTCTCAAAAAGAATTAAGAAAAAATTCAGTGCCACAGGCATGAAAGACCCAAGTGTTACCGTCTCAGAAACATTAAAGTGTAATCTCCTTATAATAAAATAAAATACAAAATCAAAAATTTTATCACAAAAATAGCATATTTTTGAATACGGTAGTTATTTTCACCATGAAGACAAAATGAAGTCCAAAATTTTTTTTTTTAATATTAAAGTATATTACATAATCTTTAATTTAAGATATATATAAAAGTGTCAGTATTTCCGAAACAATTTCAAAAGTTAAGTTGAAAGAGTTAATTTTTTGTGAAAAAGTTGTCATTTTGAATCCCTCCCTGTGGGCTGAGAAAGGGTTAAATTTATAAAAAAAATATAATAAATAAAAGGTAACGATATCATGCATCTATAAAAAAAAATTATATTAATTTGGTTATTTTTAAAAAAAGTTATGGTATTTTAAAAAAAAATTTTTTTTAAAAATATCGAAAATTAGCGATTTTTAAATTTGTAAATTTTTTGTAGATTTCCCCCATTTACGGGGAACAAGGGAATTTTTTTCAATTTTTAAGGCTAATGTCTTCGACTAGATACAATTTGTGATCTTTTACATTTGTTCATCAAAATCGGTCCAACGAGAGCTGAGATTGAGCGTTCACAGTAAAATTAATAACTTATCAGTTTCGCATTAAAGCTAATAGAAGTGTTCATAAAATTTAATTGCAGATTTGAAAACAACGCAAAAAATTAAGAAAAGTGTATTTTTGACTCAGGGAAATATTCCTTGACCAGTGCAATTATTTAGAATTAACATCAAATTATTTCTAAATAATTTTGCATCAAGCCCTTCAATTTTTATACACGTTTGCCAAAAATATTACAAAATATCCAATTACTTTATAATTTCTCTTTAAAAGTTACAATATTATATTATTGAACATCAATTTTATACTAAATTTAATTACTTTAATCAATATTTATTCAAATATATTTATAAATGAAACAACTACTAAAAATGAATTATTTTTCTTTAACTCCTCTACTTATCTATGACATCGTGTCTGCTTCTACTCGACAACACGTACTCTGATCTTAAAATTTCCATATCGATGCCTTTTGTGGATTTGATTTTGCTTTTGAAATAATCCACCAATTTCTGAAAATTAAACAGTATCTACAGATTTGTATTGAAGGGTTACTTATGATCGTGATTTTAATAACTGTTTATACTTGTCACAAATAGTTTATGACCTGAGTACATCAATAATAATTAAATATTCTGTATGTAATTAGAAATTTGTAGTTGGTAAACTTTGCAGAAAATACTCTTCCACGGAAATATTTCTATAGTATTATATACATATATGATCATTTTTCACGATAATAGGTGTCCTAGATGCAATTGTAAATAAATGCTTAGTCCCAAACCCTGATTATAAAACATGTTTGTTTTTTAAAATTAAAAATTATTGAATTTTTTCAATTAATATTAATCACAAGTGACGAAATCTTATTACATATTTACTTTTTTTTAATTTCTAAAATTATTTTTGAAGTTAATAATATTATTGCATTTATAATTACTAAAAATGTAAAAATTATTGAGAAGTCAATACAAACTTTAATTTATGTTAAATATTTTTGGAGGTACCTCTTACTAACTAATTAACAACTATTTGAATAAAACAAATGTCAAATTTTATCTATAAGTTTCATACTATTTAGCAAGAAATACTAATAATATTTAAATTAATGTATTTTATTTCGAAATTCAATAGGTTTAAATCAAAAAAGTTATTACAGCTTTTGAAAAAAACAAATTACGAAGTTTTTAGTTCTGCTTTAGTACATGATGTCAGTTGGGATGAGTTGAAACTTGCCGAAAAAGTAACAACTTTTTTTTTTCTAGATTTAATATAAATGTAATAGTAATTAAGTGTAATATAAATGTAACACTAATAATCCTACTTGTAAAAGTAATAAGTATACCCAACTAAATATCTAAGTATAAAATTAAAAAAAGAAATTATCACATTTTGAGATGTTTCACTGTGCATTAAACATTTTTGAAATTTACTAATAAAGATAACTGACTGTTGATATGTATTCTTGTAGGTGTTCTTTTTTTAGTTATTAACCTCTCCATGCACTTTTTGTCATATATCAAATTAATTTTTTTTTTTATTAAAAGATGGACGGATTTTATTGAATGCGATATGAGGATGGCTGATGTGGATTATTCTATTTTACTAATTAAATATGTTATTATAAAAATTAATTTTATTTATACTTATTATAAAAATGAATTTTTGTTTTATGTCACATGAAACACATGGGGTTCATCATTCCTTTCAAAATTATATCGGCTGATGGGGTTTTTAAATTTTTCTTTTGTTTTCGTCAAAATAATTCTATAATTGATTTGTTTTTGGAATTGTTAGGTAGTGTTTGAAGTATATTATTTACAAAGTAACCTTCTTCTTTTTCCGCGCTTTAATTCCAACTACTTGATGTCGGCTACCCTTATTCTAAACTACTACATGACACGATCTCTCACATCAGCCATCCTCATATTGTACCCAATAACATCTCTTTATCTCTTTTTTGGTCTTCCTCTACCTCTCCTTCATTCATCATTTATTTCCATAACTGTTCTTACAGCTTCCGTTCCTCTCTCCTCATAATACGACTGACCATCTATGTCTTTTTTCACTCATCTTATCCAGAATTGACGCTTAATCTATAGGTTCGTTCCTTTTCCTATCTTTTCTAATTACTCCACTTATCCATTTAAGCATTCTCATCTCTGTTACATTTATTCTCTGTTCTACTTTCTTGTCATTCGCACAAAACTCTGAACCATACGTTATAGCTGGTCTCACCACAATCTTATAAAACTTACCTTTCAGCCTCATTGGAATTCTTTTATTATAAAACACGCAAGAGGATTCTACCCACTTCAACCACCCACACCTTATCATGTGTGTGAGGCATGTGATGTACCTTCTCGTGGTCCCCATGTCTAGTAATGTTGTAATACCGGTAAATCTAAACGCTTATGCCTTAAGATATCATAACTATGTCAACGCGAAGCCAATTATCAGAAACCAGGCGGTCGAACGTGGAAATACCTCCTGTGAAAACAGCTCTTTTCAGGGCTACCCAACTGACGAACATGGAACACACGTAACAAAATGGAAAAACAAAAAAAAATGTACAAAAAACACAAAAAAATACTTGACAATTAATCACGCTGTGATACTGCATGTACTAGAGAACTGTAGAAAACAATTTTAAGATAGCTCAGATTAACGTGGACTCGAGTCAAGGCTGACATTTTGGTGAAAAGATTTAGTGATATGGATGTATTGAAGCTATAAGTGACCCACTTATCTAATGGCGTAACAAATCGTTTAAAAATAAATAGCTTTGAAATGGTGCATCACATTAGTCGCAATAAACATTATTGTGTTACATATACATTACATCTACTTAAACATGGTTTGGCATGATTAAAAAAAAATAAAATCGTTCCTAGACATTGAACAAGTGGCTGGTAATGAACATACGGTTGATATCCGCATAGGCAACCTAACCATCTTTAACGTATACAAACCCCTACTCAGCAAGTCGACTGCTTCCGTTTTGTCAGTCAGTGAACACCCTGTAATATATATCGGAGATTTCAACTCTCACAATATTGAGTTGGGATACTCCGTCGACAATGAAGAAGGCGAAAGACTTTCGGACTGCGCAGCAATTAACTAGCTTAAACTGATCTACGATGTCAAACAAGGAGGCACCTTTAAATCTGGTAGATGGAGTACGACGACATCGCCGGATCTCTGTTTAGTGTCGGATGACTCTAATGGCCTACCTCTAACCATAAACAGAGAATTCAAAAACCCTTTTCCAAGAAGTTTTTATGCCTCGTTGGAACCTGCGTAAAGCAGCATGACCAGACCATTAAAAATACGTTGATGATAATATCGACTGAATTGAACCTATACCGGACAACTATGGCGGATTCATCAACCTTATAAGACAGCTGCGAAGAAATCGATACCAAGAGGCCACAGACATAATTATATCTTTTGCTAGACTAAGGAATGCGAAGAATTACTAAAAGAATAGAAAGGGATGGAAGCGAAATAATTGCCGATAAACTCATCGTCCTACTTGACGAGGAGCGATAGAACAGATGGATACAAACTATGAATGAGATGGACTACACTCACTTGAGTAGGGAAAGTTGGTCTCTCTGAAGGAAACTGGGGGCAGCTCAAACCTCATGAAAAGCTAGCAAAGTCTCACCAAACTCCATTTCAACCATTCTTCACAAGACCGCTAATATAAAACCCAAAAAACCAGAGAAGATGAAAGTGAAAGCTGAGTACAAGAAAGAACTTCAATCATGTGCAGAAAAATCCAAAAATATAAAGAACTTTCACACGGGAAAAGTGGAGGCTGCGATAAAGCTTCAAAAAAACGGTAAAGATGCAGGCGAAGATAGTATAATACCAGAATTCCTCAAACATATGGACACTAAAATGAAATTTTGGATAGCAAGACTTTTCTCGTCAGTAAAAAATAACAATACATTGCCAAAACAATGACGGAAAGCTAAATTAGTTGCAATATTAAAACCTTTTAAGCTTGATGATGACCCATAAAGCTACAGACCAATTTCATTGATATCCGTTATCTACAAATTATTTGAAAAAGTACTCTTAACAAGAAGTTGCTTAGAAATCACTTAATGAAGTCAACGACAATATAGAATTACTGAAACATGTTATAATATGTGACGAAACATGGGTTTATGATACGACGTCGAAACTAAGGCTCAATCGTCTCAGTAGAGGCTTTCTTCTAGATCGCGAAGACTGAAAAAAACTCGTAAAGTGTGATCGAACGTGGTTCTGCTCACTGTGTTCTTCGATTTTAATGGCATAGTGTATCATGAATTCTTGTCACAATGTCAATAAGGAGTACTATCTAAATGTTTAACGTTTGCGTGAAGTAATCCGAAAAAAACACGGATTTGTAATAAAAAAATTCATGGCTTTCGTATAAATCCTTCCATTTCCAGAAAATCGTGGTACATCATGAAATATATTTTGATTTTTTTAAAATTACCATAACTTGCAAAAGCAACGAAAAAATAATAATTTTTTTTTATATAATAACTTTAAATTTTTTTTGCTCTTATTTAGTATGTAACAAGCAGCCCCTTAATATTAAAGGGGAATGACCTGTTACTGTGTGGTAACGTTGTTTATTTTGTAGCAAACAAAATGATAAATATAGTAAAATAAGAAGGGGTAAGAAAATAGGTACACCTGCTTATGTATATATATATAATAAGAAATATATTTACTGTTTTGCAAATGAAATTCTTAAAAGTAAAGGGAAAGGGGGGGGATAACTTACATACGAAAACAATATTAATCTTATGATATAAAACAATTACAAAATGATAATAAATTAATAACTTATCTGATATCAGCTTGAGAAAATTGAGACTGTGGCAAAATTATTGACCGGAAACTAACTGAACAAAATCAGTAAAGACTACAAGGCGAGCAGTTACTAATTGTACGGATGCGGAGTATTAGATGCGCGAGACAAGTGTACTGTTTACGTACCAAAGAGATTGTGTCGCTAGTTGAAGAAGTAACGATGACCGGACGAATCATGAACACGTTCGAACCGGTCATACACGCGTGCCACACTCTACCCAACATAGTATACATTTTAAAAATCTGATCATTTACCTACCCACATGGGGGATTAAAATTAAAATTTTTGCACAAAACTTTAAATTAACTTTTGAAATTTCTTCAGAAATAAAACTCATGTTACGTATGTATAAATTTAAAAAAACATTGTTCATAAGATTTGTCTTCTATGTGCATATGGCTACACATAATGTTTGATTTCATATTTAATTTTTTCAACTTTAAATTACTATAACTTTTTAAAAAAAGTATAGATTAATACAATTTTTTTTTTTTTAATATTTTATGTTAATTATTTTCAATTGTTTTTTATTAAATCGGACAATTTTCTTTAATACTGAAGGGGTTTAAGACTTGAAAATTATGATTTAAATATTTAACTTTTTCAAATTAACTTCAATTGTATTACGTATCATAAATTAAATAAAAAAAATTACTCCTTCTACTTTATTGTATGTGTAAACAGTCTCCGACAAAAAATATTCTTTTGGTACACAATTGAAATATTCAAAACTATATTCTGTATAGTTATATCTTTTAATAGTATATTATACTAATAAAAGATATAAATAAGAATATAAATATACATTGTCCGCTGATGTGTTGTTGAATTTCATTTTAACCTACATTTTTTGGATCATTATTTCTTTTATATATGAATATTGTTTTTTAACAAATTAGTAATAATCTCAAAAATTAAAGATGATAGACAAAAGTATATCTTTGATTCTGATGAATGTTCCTGTATGCCAGTGTATTCATAAGTAACAATTTTTTTTTTTTTGAAATGTATTGCATTATATCCTTTAAATTTGAGACACGCTAAAAATAATTAAATATACTATTAGTTCATTATTTTTATAATTAATTAGTATTATATTATGGAATATCAATTTCATACTAAATTTAATTACTATAATTAGTATTTATTCGTATATTAAAATTTATAAATTAGTGAACTACTAATTAGGATATAATTATCATCTATACTTATTCCAACTGTTTTAACGTTTTTTTGTTTGTTCTTTTTCATGTTACAAATATACATAACTTAATTTTAATTTATTTTTATGCATGATAAGGATCAGATTGAGAGAGGAGCCCCGGATCCAAAACATAAATTAATGATAAATTTTTATTGTTTATGAAACATCAAAATTACGTTTGAAGTTGAAATTCCACATATTAGTAATTCCGGCTCCAAGTGCGGTATTAATAATAATAACAAAAGTTTAATATTAGGTACTTAAATAAAATTTCATGAATTGATTAAAATTAATTCTCACCTAAATTATTGTAGTTAACTTATTTTATTATTATAAAGTAGTTATTATGAAATTTACAATGGAGATTTTTAAGATAAAATATGTTTAATTTATTTATTTCTTCAACAGAATTTAAACGTTGATAATTTGGCGGAAGTTTTAAAAAAAAACGGCATGTGATAACAAATACCAATCATATACTTCTAAGAAATTTATCAATATACGTTGAAAACCTTAAGGTTTCTGAAAATAATACTTCCACATAATATATTTCTAAAACAAAATCAATATAAAAAGCTGTATATCCAATTTGTTACATTACAGCACAATTATTCGTTTTCTATAAAAGCTGCTAAATACTTGACTTTCTAAAAAAAAAATTAATAAATATTTTTTTTAACATTTTTAACAATATTAAGTACTAACATTATATATTGTATTATCTTGTAATGTACTCGTCACTTATGAGACAATATAACAAAAGGCTACTGTGTTTGTGTTTTCTATAATGTAATTTTAATATTTTTGTTTGAGATAATTCTTGGAATAACATGATTCTTTTCAACAATAACATTAAAATAATCGTTACATAAAATTACATGATAATCATGGTCGAAATTTTTACGTATTAAATTTGTGAACTAAAAATCGAATTTGTATTATTATATTGTCACTGAAGTTATTGTATGAACAAAAAAAAATTTACCATATAAGATTTCAAATTAATAATGGTTAATACTTATACTATTGTACGACTCTCGCATCATACCACGAATTAAAGTAACCTTCACTTTTATCCATGATCTTTCAAGTTTTCTTATATTAATCTTTTATAGTTTAATTAATCAAATAGGTATATAACAAAATTAATTTTATAAAGTTTTAAGTAATGATGATTAAATATAATTCAGATAATGTATATAAAAGAGACTTAGTTGATAAAGGTTGTAATTGTAAGAACACTTATTACTATGTTCTTACTACTTATATTATAAGCGTTTAATTTCTATTTACTTAATTCGTAATAAATTTTAATTAGCATACAGGGAGATGTTGATGTGACAATTCTACTCGTCTGTAGCCCGGAGCTACCGACGTTGAACTAACAAAGAGCAGTTGTGTTTGATTTGCCGTTATAAACATAGATTTTAATGCTATTACTTTCGTCTTATTTATAATATTAATAACATAACTTGTTTTATTCTATGACTCGTCTATCGCCAATTGTCACCATACCCAATCAACTCCGTCTCACTTAGATATACCTACTAATCAACTGTAGGATTCAGGTCAGACGTATTGTACATAACATATAACTTATATTTACTGAATATCTAAAATATAATTTTACTTTATCGTTTACATAAAGCAATAGTCTAACTTTATTATATAATCTATCTCTTGTAACTAAGGTACACGATTGCCTGTGTATCTCCTTCAGGTTATTAAAACTCGATTAAAACCGAGCATCATGCCTTTAAGACACGACATCGCTATCCGATACGGACATCGATAAAAATTTTGAGATTATGCTCGCCAAGAAAGGTACGTACTCAGGAAGGGGTAGCGGCTTTATTCTATCACATATTGACGGTATTATGCTCAGCGTATAGTAGTATACGCCCCTCGCGTAATATCATAGATTACGATTCTGCTCGAAATTAATCATCAACCCACAAAATAATGATCAATCTTGTTTCAAGTGGTCCATTTTGTTGAAACATGTCAAGGGAGACCACAAATATCGCGTTGATCGAAAATATTTTAACGAGCAACACAGGTATGATTTTACGGGAATGACGTTCCTCACACCTGTGTCCCGAATTAAATATTCGAGCAATGAAACCCTAACGTGTTTGTCAACATGTACGGCTTGGAACGGAACGACGTGAAGATGAATTGATTGGTGTATCCGCTAAAAGTCGTCGACAAAGAGCAACAAAATCATTTTGACCTCTTATATATTGGCGACTCTGAAAAATTACATTACGTGTATATTTCCGATTTTTCAAAGCTTGTTCTTAAACAATAAATCCTAATATACATATACACTTACAAACGTTGCTTCACTAGCTTTGATGATCAGTCTAAAAAGCTTATTTTTCGAGGTAGTCAAGCTAGGTTAAAACCGTAAATTGAGTTGAAAACACTCAACTGCAGAAGAAGGCACAAAATGCTTTTGAAATAGCGTTTTTCAAACTTATGAATAATGCCGTCTTTTGTAAATGCACGCTCAATGCTAAAGCAGTTGTGGGATATTCGATAAATTTTTCATGTTATAGAGAAAACCACGGAAAACATGTGGAAGCGCACCCTTATCGAGCTGATCACCACTCCCGAATCTTCAAAGATTATATCAAATTTATGGTGAAAGTTTGTGCGCTATCGTGATGGATACAAAGATTGTAAAATGTGTAAAACCTATTTATGTCGGTTTAGCAGTACTTGACATAAGCAAGACGTTAATGTACAAGTACTGCTACTATGTATTAAAACCACATTATGGCATGGAAAACGAATAGGTTTAAATGGATTCTAGTGAGTACAACCTATACAATATAGATATATTTAAGTATTTATTTACTTATTTTATTTCAGACCCCTTTTTATACCTGATCCGTGTCAAAAACTATTATCAGAATTAGGCTGACAGACCCAGTTTACTGGTGAACGTGGACGCGGATGCAGGGTCCAAGGATCACCCTTGCTACTACACCGATAGAAAGAAGAAGGCCTGTTTTGAGACGAGATCAGTAGTCATATACTGTATGAGATCGCTGAACTTCGATCAAAGTGTTAAGCTATGACATAGAAGGCAGCGAACTCATCAAGTTGAAAGGTCATGTTGTCCGCAATCATCTATCTTTGGATGATTACAAACGATGATAATAACGATGGTGACGATGCGTTTAAACGAGTATTGGCCGGAAAAAATGTTCGTGCAGTCATTGGAGCTGTACGAGGTGGTGAACGTTATTCATCGACATCATCGCAACCATACACTTCGTACCAAGAGAACGTGTAAATCCGTTTATTCGAACACGAGGTTCTCACTGTACGTACAACCAAGTTGACGCTTAACCGTTACGATGATAAGCGTTATACGCTCAAAATAGAATCGAGACATTAGCCACGGGCATTACGCTATACCACCACCACCACAGGAAAGTTAATACATAGTATTATGTATTACGTATAGTACAATATAGTAGTTATATTTTTATAGTAATCTATAGTATTTATAGTAATTTTTATAGTTAATATTTAAATAGAAAAAGTGCGAAAACCGAACCCGCCGAAAAGAACAAGGCGCTTATTATTGCCCGTTTATCACGCGATCGTGCGCTGAAATCAATTAAAGAAATCTACGCAGTTGCAGAAATGGTTAAAAGTGACCCATCACTAATGTCTGAGTTGGAAATTCGTTCGCGCCAACTAGATTCCCATGTTACGCAATTTCGTGAACACCAATATTCTGTGATTGAAGCTTCGGTTGACCAAGATATGGTCGAAGAATTCGAGTGTATTGATCCTCCAGTACCGATGTAATGGATACGCTTATTTTTAAAATAAATGCAGTATTAACGCCAACTACTTCCACAAATAGTATGCCCACTTCTATAACGCCTCAACCACAATATAACACATATTTACCGAATGTTGATTTGCCTAAATTTGATGGTAATCCCGAAAAATGACGTTCGTTCTATGAAAGATTTGATTCTTTTGTTTCCGCTAGAAATATTAATAAAATCGACCGATTTCATCTATTATTATCATGTTTATCTGGTCCGGCGTTAAACACAATAAAATCTTACCCACTCTCTGCCGCTAACTATGATAACGCATGGAGGGGTATGAAAACCAACGACTATTAGCATCAGTACATTTGGGGATAGGTTATTTTCGTTCAAACCAATAATAACAGAATCATTATCAGCCTTAAATGATTTTATTGATGTTTTCAATGACAATGTAACAGCCATAAAAAATATCGAAGTGGAAGATTTATCTGGGTTTTTACTTTTTTATATGGGTGCTAAGTAGAGCTTTGCATAGGCCAAATTTTCAAGGACCGGACCAAACCGTACTAAAAAACTAAAAAGAAGACCGGACTGAACTATTATATGAAATTTAAATTGGACAGGATAGAAATTGTAAATGGACCGAACCGAACTGGACTATAAAGTAAAAAAATTCTAGACCGAACCAAACCGGACTATTAAATAAAAAAACTCTATCCAGACAAAATTAAACCAGATATAACAAAAATATTGACCATACTGAACAAAACATGAACATTAATTCAAATAAACTTTGGGACTTGATCGGACTGTTGCAAAAAATGAAAATTGTACCTGGCTAAACAAGACCTAATTGAAATAAACTAAAACTTTACATATTAAAATCTTTAGACATTATACATTAATGGAATACTTTTTTTTATATTTGGTCCTAAATTTAAAACAAAATGATTATTCACAAAAATAACTAAAAGTTTACTCAGATATAAACTTATTTTAAAATCATGAAGTCATAAGATAATTTATTACTCAATATAAAAAATTAAATTAAATTATTATTAATTATTTAAATAGAGAAAACAAAACATATTAAAATATTTTAATTACATAAAATTAAAAATTATCCTGTTATAAAATTAAACAAATCAGAAAAATGTATATTATACTATTAAAGTTAAGTTTTGTAATAATTGTTCAAAAATAATATGCCATCAACTATAGAACCGTTTAAACAACTCCTTCGTTCTTCTATTACCCTACCAGCAGTACTGAATGACCTTTCACTACTTGCACTACTAGCTGGAATAGCCAATATTTGTCGTGCTAATTTTGACAGGCATGGGAATTCAAATTTTTTATTTTTCCAAAATTGTAATAAATTGTCTTCGTGGACGTCGAAGTATTTATTTTTGTATTCTTCCAACTCCTTTTTATATTTTAAGCGACTTTCTGAAATTTCTACACTTGAAAGGTCTTCTCATTCCGAAAAAATTGTATTTTTTTTATTATTTCACTGATTTAGATTTTCTTGTTGTGAATCACTATAAATTTCATTAGTTTCCTCTGATTGAATTTTATATAACTTCATATCAATTTCGTCTATAATTCTTAATTTGTCAATTTCAGAAAACATTTTTAACGATTTCAATTTCGGCG